CTCTCTCTCTCTCTCTCTCTCTCTCTCTCTCTCTCTCTCTCTCTCTCACACACACACACACACACACACACACACACACACACACACACGCACACACAATCTCAAAGTTTGTGTCATCAAAGACTGCATCCTGTTTGGGACTGAAAGAGTGTCTGTTCTTCTAGAGATCTTGAGTTTTTTTTTCCCATCATCCATATCAGGTATCTCATGATCTCCTGTAACTTCAACCCCAGGAGATCTGGCGCCCTCTCTGGCCTCTTCAGGCACTTGCATGTACATGTCTGTACCTACACTTAGATTAGACTCACACACATACAGTGAAAGACTGGGAGCCCCAGCCTCCTGAACACCCTCCTCCACTCTGTGAGTCCCTTGTTTATGATTTCTTGCCACAGACGTTGTTCCATTGCCTCTTTGGACCTTAGGCATTCTTCTGCTGGGTGAGAATAAATTCACCATGGAGGGGGAGCTCCCTTTGATGCTATATAACAGCTCAGAAAGTGCAGGATAGGTCACTCTAATTAAGATTAGGAAAAAGGTCATTTTTCTCGGTCCTTCAATGAAAAGCTGATAGCTACTTAGAGGAACTGAAAACCTAGTATCACCAGATAGGACTAGCTAGCACCTGTTGCTCTAGTGGGCCTCCTTGGCTTCTGAACTCATCTGCCTTATCTGTCAGCAGCCAGCGTGGCCTTGCCATGGGGTGCTGTGGTCCCTCACAACTCCTCCCTCTCCGCCCCAACATAGTCTATGTGTGCCAGCCTTTTCCAACAGATCGCCAGGTCCTCCTCACCTCTGTCTCCTCACATTCTGCCTTCATGAGCCCTTACTCTTAGCAAGTCTGTTCATCTCACTCTGTGTGGGGGTTTTGCTTTGCTGCTGTTTTAATATTGCTTGCCCTCTGTTGTGTTTGCTATTTGTTAGTCAACTGTTTGACATCTTCACTCACTCAAAAACTTTGAATTTGAGCACAAATCTCATGCCTGCTACGAGCCAGGCTGCAGAACTCAACAAAATGGTACTTGTAAGTCAGCAAAAGAACATAAATGAGCCCAGTCTTCCCAGATCGGGAGGAGGAGCCGATCAGAGTGGTACCCACATTCCTGCCCTCAAGGCCCAGGCAAGGAGAAGAATAAAGGGACTAGGAGGGGACCCCAGAGGAGATAATTCCTCTGAAGGTCTCATTGGCCTGCAAGGAGTGGTGTTGGGGGTGGTCCTCCAGAGCCTCTCCAACCTGAGCACCAGTTCTGCAGGCTCCTGAGAAGCAAGGACAAGTAAGGGGAGGTAGGTCCTTGTCAGTTTCTGTTGAGCTGTAAGGTTAACTGCAATAAGAGAGAAGGGTCTTCATCTGCCTTTGTTACTGGAAGAAGCTGAAGGGGACACGCGTACCTTTTTTACATTAAGCCCCTTTGAAGCAGAAGCAGGGGGTTTGCTGCAGTTCATTTATCTAGTTAAAGGGAGGGTCTGAAGCACAAATCTAATTAGTGTTATTAAATAGAAACCTGGAATCAGATATTAGGGAGTGAAAGCTGAAAGATCAGAGAAGCAGAGTAACCATCACTAGCTTTTTCCTCTGTGAAATCTCAGACCGAATGGGGGAGATCATATCTCCATGAATCCTCAGACTGAAGGACCCGAGATCCTGTTTCTGCCAGCCTTATATTCCTATCCTACCTCCCTAGTGCTGGGCTTAAAGGAGGCATGTCCCTCCCAAGTACTTGGGATCAAAGGCTTGAGATCCCAAGTGCAGGAATCAAAAGTGTGAGCCTCTACCTCATTGTCTGTTTCTCTTTTAGACTGGTTCAATCTTGTGCAGCCCAGAGTGGCCTTGAACTCCGATCTTTCTGCTTCCTCCTCCCAAGTGATTAGATTAAAGGTCTGTGTGCCACCACTGCCTGGCCTCTATGGTTAACTAGTGGCTAGCTCTGCTCTCTGATCTCCAGACTAACTTTGTCAGAATACAAACAAAATACCATACAAAAAGGGTCGTTATTAGGACTGTAATCTTGCTTGCACTCTTGGGTGTGGGTATGAAAGCTACCCTCAGCATAGCACTGGCCCCTGACTTTGCCAGGAGGGCCTTTTCCTGATCTTCCACATCCAGCAGCTTCTTGTTCCCAGCAAAAGCTAGAAAATAGTTCCCCCTATACACTGTTTGATCCCAGATCGGTCTCAGATAGAACATTCTAGTTTCTTGAGTGTTAGTCCCCCTGCTTCATGATCCTACTTGATCTATCCTTTTCACCTGAAAAGAAGCAGACCAGGCCTCCTGGAGGTGGCCCCGGGATTACAAAGCTCTTTGTTGACAAGTAAGGACATGTACTGAGGGGCTGTTTGGTGCCAGGGGAGTCCTTGAAGGAAACTTACACCCCAGAGGCGCACCCTTCCTTTACAGAGACCTCTAGTAACAGCTTTACTAGCCTTGCCCACTTGCTGAAGTAACCAGAGAGTGCTGTGTGACACAGAAGTGACAGTGGCTAGTTACAGAAGAGGAAGAGAGCCATGCAAAAGAGATGCTGGGATTGTAGGGGCCTGCACAGGTGCTGGTGACTGGGATTGCAGGGGCCCGCACAGGTGCTGGTGACTGGGACTAACTCAGTCGTCCTGGGGAAAGTGAGTGGCTGTTGTGCTGAGGCAGGAGCAGGATTCCCATCTAGTGTGCACTTGATCTCTGCTGTTTCTTTTTTCACATTTTGTTTTCAGATTTCCATCTAACGATCGAAATGATTGACAGGTGCTTTGAAAGAAGTCCCAGTTAGCCAGGCATGGTGGTATATGCTTTCTATCCAGAGGCAAGTGGATCTCTGTGAGTTTCAGGCTACCCAAGGCTACATAGCAAGACCTGTCTCAACCCTCCCCATCCCCACCCTGCAAAATATGGAAGAAAGAAGTCCTAGTTGCCTGGGAAACTTTTCTTGTGTAGAAGGGCTTATTCCTTAGTAAAACAACGTGCAAAATTTTAGTGTCCTTGACACCATTGTTGCATATAGGACCGAGAATGCGCAGCTGCCGAAGAGAATGAAATGAACTGCCTGTGTCACTGGAAGCTTCTTTTTAGTGGCCTCCCATTTATGACAGGAGGATGTGCTGTCAGAGGTCTGGTGAGTTTTGTAACCGACTGTCTCCGGTGCAGGGGAACCTGAGTCATGGTGGTCTGCTTCCTACTTAGTGGTTGACAGTTAGGGTTCTGCAAGACTCGGAGTGAATACTTGAGGCTTGCATGTTGATACAGCATCTGCCTTGCTGGGCAACTCTCCATCGCCATGCAAAGCTGCCAGAGGCCATCTGTAGGGTGAGCTTGAACGTAGTGGAGCGCAGGTGGTAAGCGTGTCCCTGGAGAGTGCTTCTCTTCTGTTGGCCTTCTGACTTCTTGTGCCGTATGACCTATTTATTGAGTGTGGGTTGTAGTTGATGGAATCCAGAGTTTTAGAATTTGCAGAGCACAGGTCAGTCCCCAGACACTCTTGGTCTGCAGTTTCATAGAGTCCTGTTCAGTTTTCAGAAGGTGAACTTACGTCTTTTAATGATTGTATGTTATTCAAACACCACTGAACTGCCTGCCACTCTCCTGGAAAGCAAGCACAAGATTGATGTAGAAAATCCTGGCTGATGACCAAACATCGTGTTACTCTGTGTGTCACAACTGTCCCCAGCACTGGGCACCTGCTGTAGAGCAGTCTCTGCCTTGTTACTCCCATGATCCTTTAGACAGGCACGTGGTGCACACCGAGCTGCCCACCTGTCTTCAGCCTTGTGCTACGTTTGGAGCAGAGCTGAACTATGTGCATGATCAGCCTGAGCAACATTTTATTCTACGTGGCCACACTCTGTTCCGTCCAGATGTTCTTTCTCAGAGAAGAAGGAGAATTAGGTTAGTTAGGATGGGCTAACAGCCTTCAGAAGATCCTGGGGCCAGGGTCATTTCTTTTGCTGTAGAGTGACTTACTCTCCCCTGCCCACCACCTGTGCTACGTGTGACTTTCCATTGTTTCTATACCCAGGAATGGACTGAGCCATCAGTTTCTCACTGAGAGTTCGGGTTGGTATTATGACAAGCTAGCAGCGGAGACGAACAGAGGAGATCTTCTCTCTCTGTCCTGCAGTCCATTATGGATGAATAGGTGTGCAATATTGATTCTTAGTTACGTCTCTTAGTGCACACCTTTAGTCCCAGCACTCTGGAGGCAGAGGCAGGTAGGTCTATGAATTTGAGATCAACCTGGTTTACATAGCAAGTTCCAGGACAGCCAGGTCTGTTATACACAGAAACCCTGTCTCAAAAAGCAAAACAATCATTAAAATAGTGGGTTTCCTTATAGCATTCTCTTTACACTTATACTTTGTTCTGTTTGTTCTGGTTCATCTCCCAGTTCTTAGTTTTCATCTCCAAAGGTCAGTGCTGTAGCTCTTAGGAAGAAAGTTGCTTACCTATCATTTTTCGAATGGAAAGAATGTCTTACCAAGAGAATGCTTGTGCGTGGCTGTGAGCTATGCAGGATGTTCAACACGAGCTCCTCCCCAAAGCCCTCTAGCTCTAGAAACAACAGCCCTGGTGGGCAGTGCCTCACAGGTGAGGAAATGGTGTTGTCTTGTACTAGGAACCATTGAATACACTGTCACCATCTCTCTTTGCCCTGTCACTCACAAGCCATTCCAGTTCAGTGCTCCTCTGTTTGACAGGAGATTGTCCCCAGCACCTGCTGTCCCAGATTTAACTGAATGGACTATTTGCCCAGAGGTGCCCTCATAGCCGAAGGGACTTAGGCTCTAGCCCCACCTCCCGTCGCTGTGCTGCTGTCTGATCTGGCTGCCCTTGGGTGTGGTCTCTTTTCGTTCCCACCCCTTGGCAGCGTTTGTGCGAGATCTGTGCACACACACCGTGGCTCACTTGGGAGGTCTCCTTATTGCTGAGCTAACACCATATTTCTGCTCCCTTTCCTTTCAGATGCCAGTATGGACAGAATAGCTTATGATGCTGACCCCCAACCATCACTTCCGAGACATTGAGCGGAAACCAGAATACCTCCAGCCAGAGAAGTGCGCCCCACCTCCCTTCCCTGGTCCTGCGGGAACCATGTGGTTTATCCGTGATGGCTGTGGCATCGCCTGCGCCATTGTTACCTGGTTCCTGGTCCTCTATGCGGAGTTTGTAGTCCTCTTTGTCATGCTGATTCCATCCAGAGACTATGCGTACAGCATCATCAACGGAATTGTGTTCAACCTGCTGGCCTTCTTGGCCCTGGCCTCACACTGCCGGGCCATGCTGACGGACCCCGTGAGTATGTCTGGGCTTGTTTTGACCAGCCTACATTCTGTCCCTCTGGCCCTGGCATGGCCATAACCCTCAAACTCCTGTGGATCTTGGGAATGTGAAAGAAGGACAGCCGGGCCTGGGTGGAAAAGTGAGCTACCTCTTGTTAGAGTTTTTGGGACTCTGACCTGGGAAGGAGGGCAAGACCTGTATTAAAGCGTATAGGGTAAGTTCAATGGCACTGTCTGCATACTGCTGTATGTATTTGTTGAGCCTGCTGTGTCAGGGGTCCAGCTAAACCCAGCCTCTGTTTGGGAAATGCATTCAGATAACCGTAAAGACTGGCCAGATGGTCAGAGCAGAAAGCAGTCCAGGGGAAGAGAAGACAGAGAGAAAATGGAAGTGGGTCGACTTGATTGACAGCCAGTTTCAGGGTCTGCATGCATTTAGCCTTTACTTAGCTTACACAAGATTACTCTTTTTCTAGGTTGGGTAGGGTGACACACACCTTTAGTCTCTGGGAGGCAGAAGCAGGTAGACGCCTGTGAGTTCAAGGCCAGCCAGGGCTACATAATGAGACACCTTGTAGTCAGGGACAAGAAAGGTTCCTCTTTTCATGGAAAACTGGCCGGGCCTGTTTGGCATGACGGTAGACACCTTTGAGTATTGTGGGTACAACTTGTTCCATTTAGTGACTTAGATAAATATATCAGGTGAGGCAGAGGCCCCTGAATGTTTTCATACCCCGATATCAAGCCCTCCTGTTCTCATTATGTCGTATGGGAAACAACCATACAGGTAACTTGGTAAATCCCTCCTGTGTGTTAACCTTGCTATGTGGGTGGTAGTCATTACATTGGGAAAGAAAAACTTCTGTTAGTAGTCACACACAGTTTCTGTGAGCCCCAGAAAAGCAAAGCACAGACCATAGGGCTGAGCCAGTCCCCTTCTTGAAAGTAATTGTTAATCCCTCCCAAGGAAAGGCAGTTTCCTGGCTCAGTTACCTGTGTGGCTGCTCCAGAGGGAACGGAGCCTGAGGACTGGTGCAGATGTTACAGGACAGAGCAACATCAGCATCTGAGGAGCTGAAGTGCTTAGGTTCTTAAATGCCACAAACACAAAGGTATAAAAAAGTTTAAAAGAACTAAGGATTTGTTCAGAAGTTTGTGTGATGCCCTGTATTGGAGACAGTGAAAGAAATTACGTCTTCTGCTCAGCTCACAGTCCAGTACCAGCTCTCCCATCAAGATGCCTCTGTTGAGAAGACAAGTGAAGGCAGCCCTGGCAGAGGAAATGTAGCTTGCTGTGGACAAGCAGGGAAGGGTATCTATCGGTCAATAAGGTTGGTGGTGAGAGGCGGAGAATAGAGTCAGGAGCCTCCTGTTCAGAAAAACAGGCAGTGGCTCCTCGGCATTTGGTTGTTGGGATGGGAAAACCACACAGAATATGGATTTACCTTTGGTGTCTGTGGTTATGAAAGAAGAAACAGGACAGTAAAGAGTCTAAAGCCCCAAGAAGTTATTTTTTTGAGACAGAGCCTCATTATGTAGCTCTAGAACTCATTGTGTAGACCAGGTTGGTCTCAAACTCACAGAGATCCATCTGCCTCTGCCTCCCGAGTGCTGAGATTGAAGGTGTGGCCACTGGGTCTGGCTGTAGGAATTTTTAACTCTGGAGTGACAAGGCCAGAGTCACTGGACAAGAACGGCTGTAGCAATGATGGGCAGGGCCCTGCTGGGCACTGCTGGGCAGATGAACAGTCGTGTGGACTGGGTGCCAACCCTGCAGAAGATTCCTCCATGAGCAGCAGGTACAGCTGAGAACAAGACAAACAGAGCCCCTGCCTTCTGGAACCTCGTCTTTCAGTGAGGACAGAAGGACAGCAGCAGGAGGTGTGGTGGGCTTTAGGGGCACCCATTAGGCCGGGGTGGCCCAAGAAGGCCTCTCCGTGGTGCTGCCACTGGAATGGCTGAAGCTGCAGGCAGAAGAGAAGAGGGGTACCTAGGTCTGAGCTTGGAGTGAGACTACAGCATGGTGAACAGGGAGAGTAAAACGGTCCACAGAGGCAGGATCATGCCGGACCTTGTAGTTCTCAGAACCTTGGTGAGATAGGTGTGATAGCAGTGTGATTGTGGGTGAGGTTCAGGTAGGAGCCGCAGAAGAATAAGACGGGGGCATTGACAGTGGTTTAGGCAAGACACGGCGCTAGCTCGGATCATGATAGAAGCAGAAAAGCTATTGGATTTACAGTTTATTTGAGTCACTGATTGATTCTGAAGTCTGGCTACACAGTAAGAACTCCTTAGAGAGTTTTTAAAGTACTGGTGCCTGCCTCCTGCCCTACGGGGTTCTGCTTTAATCAGGTTAGGGGCAGAGCTCTAGGTATTGACACACTTGAAAATGCCCCTGCTCCCCATGAATTACCAGGGCTGAGAGAAGCTAACAAATGGAGATGGGCCACAAAGAAAACCTTCAGCCTAGGAAGGAACAACTGTGGATGCTAGTGGCACTTGTTGCTTGAGGAAGACTAGTGAGGAACAGAGGCCATTCCAAAGCTTCTTTGTGGCAAAACTACCATGTATTAGGTACAAGCAGAGATGTTAGGTGAGCCAGGAAGGCTCGGAGGGTAGAAGATGGACTCGCTGTTGTCGAGAAGGCGTAGAGGGCCGAGGAGCTGGATGTCACCAGGAACCTCCTGCTCTCACAAACCTATGCTTTCCTCCTTCCTGCATGGACGCCTCTCCAGGGGCCTCCTCAGGCAGCCCTGCAGCAGAATTTTTCCTGATTTTTACCTTGCTTTGTGGCTCAGCTTCCAATTCTAAGTGGCAGCCTTAGGTTTCTTTCCTGTTGCTGTGATCAAATGCCCTGACAAAAGCAATTTGGGGAAGAATTTATTGTAGCTCGAAGTTCAGGTTACGCTCATGGTAGCAGGAAAGTCAATGCAGGGGACTCTTGAAGCGTCCATCCGCAGTCAGAAGCAGAGGGCAATAAATGAATGCGTGTATGCTGTGCTGAGCTCACTTTCTCCACTCTGTACAGTTCAAGACCCAAACCCAGGGAACAATGTTGTCTGCTTTGGACGAGGTCTTTCCCTGTCAATTAATGCAACCAAAAGTTATCCCCTCCCCCAGACATGTTAAAAGGCCAATCAATTGAGACTCTCTTTCAGGTGATTCTAGACTGGCATTTGAAATTGCCCATCACAGTAGGCAAGAGCCACAGTCCTGAGCCCCAATCACCCCCCCATGGATGTAAATGGAGAATCTGTCCTGTAACTGCCATGCGTGAGACAAACGTTTCAAAGCATGTGTTTTGTACAAGCCCCGTTGCAGGATCCTCATGCCTCTGCCTGAAGCACATGAGACTTAATGAAAACTTGTGTGTAACGGTGAGGTGGAGCTGTAGAAATGGGGCCTGGAGGGTACCAGCTGGGCACCCTGGCTCCTAGGAGCGTCGTCTGGAGTCAAAACTCGGGTCAAACGCAGATCAACTGGGGGCTTCTTGTTAATCAGCAAATGGAGTTCTGGGGAGTTTTCCTAATGGGGGGGATGATGATTTATATCTCAGGAATGCATATTATCTATAATTTGGGGGGAACAGCCTATATCCTGCCCTTTTTTTTTTTTTTGGTTTTTTGAGACAGGGTTTCTCTGTAGCTTTGGTGCCCATCCCAGAACTAGCTCTTGTAGACCAGGCTGGCCTCGAACTCCCAGAGATCCGCCTGTCTCTGCCTCCCGAGTGCTGGGATTAAAGGCGTGCGCCACCGCCGCCCAGCTATTTGCTGTGTACGTCATTTAGGTTAGCACTGAGAGGGTGGGGAGAAAGGGGGAGAGAAGAGGAGACAGGAGAAAAAAATGTCATGGTCTCCCACTAGATAATACTGCACCCTTCTGACTTGGACCTTTTCACTCCAAATGTAACAGGAGAGCAGTTCAGCCATGGTGCTCTGTGGACCGTTCATCAGTTAGTTGACTCTGGCACAGCAGTAGTTGAGTCCACACAGCCAGCGAAGAGAGAAACTGCTTCTAAGTGTGTGAGAAGCAGAAATGGGGAAGAGAGAGAAAGGACACTAGACCAAGAGGCACAAGGACTGGAAGTGCGCGGTGAGAGCAGGCCGTGCTGGTGGTTGGTCTCGCAGTGGGCTGTTAGTCATTGCCCGCTCTGAGGTTGTAATGTCCTGGAAATCCACATGAGCTCACCTGAGTTATCCCCCCAGCTCCAGAGTGTGTCGCTGGTGTAGATGGACTAAAGCTGACAGAGTTCACACATCGGTTCTCTCTCCTGTGGAGTAAGGGCCGTTAGGGTTGGAAAGGCCAAGTGGGAGCCATTGGAGTCACCTCTAACAGAGAAAATAGTGAACCAAAACCAGTATTACATCTCTGGAGGAACTGCAGAAATTAGCACCACCATCAAGGACATGAGAGATACAGGAGTGGTGGTTCTCACCGCCTTGTCCTTTAGTGCTCCTATTGTGTTTTTTTTTTGTTTGTTTTGTTTTTTGTTTTTTTTTGGTAGCGATCCACAGTCCTTTATATGTGCCAGAAACCAGAGATGAATCCAGCAGCCAAGGGGCTAGCACATGCCCCTATGTCTGCATATATAGTACATAAGACCAAGACCAAAGTGGCTAGTATCCCAAAGCCATTGGCTGAAGAAGTTCACACAACACCTCCCCCTTTTGTCTACAGAAGAGAGTTCCAATATGAAACTATATACAATAATAACAAATATCAAATATAAAAATTAGAATTACAACCAACATGAATGACATCAAGAAAGAAACATATGCTAATTTTAATAGTTATTCTATTCTAAGAAGTATAAGTCATATTAGAAATGGCTTGGCTAAGTCATGAGAGAAAATTAACTATGAGTATCTAGTGTTTTTTTTTTAATGTATTTATTTATTTATTTATTAAAGGTTTCTGTCTCTTCCCCGTCACCGCCTCCCATATCCCTCCCCCTCCCCCAATCAACTCCCCATCTCTCATCAGCCTGAAGAGCAGACTGGGTTCCCTGCCCTG